AGATGTTGTTTGCTTCATTTGGTTATGTTAGCCTTAATAGGCATTCTTTTTTTTCTGTGTTTTCTAAACACCACAACTTTAAAAAAAAAAAAAAGGGACCTTTTGGTATTCATAGCAAAAATACCCAAATAAATGATATTTTTGTAACATTTGGAACTTATTTTCTTTCCACACTAAAACTTGTCAAGAATTTTCTGTAAATTGCTCCTATCTTTATTTGTCTTTCCTGCTTTTTCTCTTCTCAACTTTTAGTTAAGAATGGTGTTAATAAACTTCAATGGTCTTATGACACAAGTTTGGGTCTTCTTTTCATCGCAATATATATTAAAAAAAAAAAAAACACATCGACATGTCCAAGAAATCTGTTTTATATTTCCATGGCCTCCGAAGGAAAACTCCTTAAAATCTGAAATCATTTGTAATTGATCCTTTACCTTGGCAGAGATCTTAGTCCATGCCGACCCATGTCGATGACTGCCTATCTAGAAGTTGGCTTTACCTCAACTTTGCTGAACCTGTGTACAAATATGTGCAGGGAAAACTTTGAACATCAGTGTTGTAGCATTCTTTGCCATTTGTTTTCGTGCAAACTTTCAGGTATTTTGTAGTAAACACGGATCTGTGGCTTCAGACGCATTAGACATTTAAAAAAAAGTTTAATGCAACACTAAGATGTTAAACTAAGATGTTAAACACATGAAATAGTACATATTGAAATTAAATACCAATTGAAAACAATATTTCTTTCATCACCAAATAATTACCATGAAGATTATTGTATAAATTCTACATCACCGTGCTGAAAGTTTTTTGGAAAACACAATTTATCACAATATGACTAAAAATGCTCACGTGATGCAGACAACCATGTCATAGTAACCCACACCTCTGACAATTATTTTTTTCCAAATGAAAGTTTTTCTATTTGAAAGATGCAGTTTTTGAGCTACTTCCATAACCTTATGTTTGTTTTGGATCAAATATCTTGAATATCATCTTCATAGATTATTTGGTAAATAGTAACGGGACGGCTATGTACTTATAAATAATCTACTTCAGTTCTATTATGCAAACTGTAAATATTTTATTCGTTCAGGGAAAGAGAACCAGTGCTGACTTGTTGTTCGGGAACTCTTGTAGCTAAATCAGAGATATTTTACAAGATGCAGCTTTCTCCCTGGCAAAACACCGGTGGATAAAAATGCTAATAAATCAATGAAATCGCTGACTATTGATCGAACATTGTGTTTCTGACATTGACTTGCTATGTTCCACTTCTGTTTTTGTGCCGGCATGAGATCAAATAATAGACAGGTTACAATCTTTAGCCCGTTACAGGACTTTAAAAAGCAGGCAAGTTCATTCTGATTCCATGTTCACCCAGTTTGTTGCATTAGATTTTGGGTGTGGTTTGTAGACTAATATCTTTAGTCTTTGTGGTTGTAAATGTTAACTTTAAAATCTGAAGAAGTTGAATATGAATTAATTAATTAATTAAATGTGTCCCTTCTTTTATAATGAAGCACAGGTTTCATCATCAAGTGTATTCCTTTTTTTTCTAAGCACCAAGTCGTATTATTTCTGTATTTCAGTTCTCTGGTGTTCTGATTTTAAATGTAAGATGTAAGACACTGTGTCCATAACAGTGTATATTTTTCTCGTGCGCATTCACTGAAAATGTATTAACAGAATTGACTGTGTCCTTACGCAGTGGACCATGGTGCTCAACCGTGAAGCCCGCGCACAAAAAGAGCAACATAAGGAAAAAAAACTGTTGAGGGTTTGGCACACGGTGTGTGATCCACACATACAAACAAGTGAGCACAAAACATGATGGCGCACATAGTGTGATAACTTTATCTCAGCATGGCGGGGACTTGCAGGAGAGCGAAATTCCCGGGGAGAAAAAAGATTATGATAGGGGGAATGTAGCGGCGTAAAGATGACACGGAGAGAGAGGACACTCCACCCAGATAAAGAGAAATCGCACATTTGGAACACGCACCTTTTCACTAGTTGCAGTTTTGAGCAAATGCATGCAGCCCACTTCAGTCTGAAGCACGTGTGTATTTAGCTAGACATTTCAACAAGCTATCTTTTCTTTCTTCCCAGTCAACAATGATTCAGTCTCAAAAAGAGATGAGTGGATGTTTGTCTTCAGCGCTTAGAAGGTGACAGATGTATCGTCTGTCCTTGTCTCAGAGTCTTTGCCCATTGCATTTTCTTAGATTTTTTTCATTCCCTGCTTTTTTTTTTGGCTTTTTTTTTTTTTTTGGCTGCATGACATTCCATTTGCCTACCAGTTACCATGGCAAATGATGTGAACAAAGAGCATAAGCAGTGCGATTATAGATCGGCCCGCCTCACTCACACACACATACACACGTGGTGGTGGAATCACATTTAGTCCTCTCTGACCTTTTGTTACAGAGAGATTTAATAAAGTGTGAAGAGAGATGGGGAAAAAAAACTAAGTTGGAAAAAAAGTAGGAGAGAAACAGCAATTAAGAGATAATTATCTGCTGGAAAAACGACAGAACTTTTATACAGTCCGTATTGTTGTGAGGCGGAAGAAAAGAGAGAATTACTGGAATCCCTGCTTTGTAAATGCCAAACACTTGCTTTGACCTCCCTCATGTGACCACAGCTTTTCTTTATTATTTTATTGATTACTACAGAAATTTTGGAGCCTTTTTTTAACCCAACAGAAAAGTTAAGTCTATTCAATTTGTGTGCCCCTTTATATTATTTATTTTTTGTACTTTTTACCATTACCTTCAGCATGTCAAGCTAGATTTGTAATGAAACATGGGTTATTGTGTTTAGAATTTTCCTTTACTGTGGGTTTTCTGTTTTAGCTTGTTAACTTTGACCTGTTTCTATTCAATAGAGTATAGCCTACACTGCTTTTCTGATTACGTCAACTACAGATTATTGTGTCAGGAGTTCCTGCTGTTTATACTCCTGGTTTTCATTCTGTCGGTTTAGGCTCATGCAGTAAATTCGGTTGTCAATTGCTAACTGTAAAAAGACCATCTTTTAGACTGCAAACGCTTATCACCGTGCTGCATTTGGGTCCTATTTCTCCATAAACCCTGACAACATGCACATTTTATTCCAAAAGGCCAATGAATGTATATGTCTGCCTACTTTTATCGTCAAACTCACATCGGTTTGCTTACAATGAACATATAAGAATTTCTGCTGGTAGTTATATGGAATCCCTCTAACCTAAACCAGCCTTGGGAAATTTATTGAATCACTGATGGCAATTTTAAGTGAACATGGTATTCTATGTCAAATCCATTTGGCTGTATTGACCACATGACAGGTTTTAGTGTTGGGTAACACCAAAGGCTCATAGTCCAGACATATGCAACTTCCATTCCCAGACTTGGCCTTACATCTTTGATCTATTCAGAATATCATATAATGTCAAGTTTTTATTTCTTTCATTTTACATCATGGGTTAATTTTTTTAGGGAGCTTGTATCTCACCTTCCCCTTACCTTACCACCTTCCCCTAGAAAAAGAAAAAAAATAAACCAAATTTTTGAGGATAATATAACTTGATGTTAGGTGGATCACTGGCCTATTATTTTTCCTTGTATCACAATTGCAAATATCGATTGTGCGTCTTTCGATTGTATCCCTTTGTTTTGGCACGCTAAAAGCAAACAAGCAAAACAACAAAAGTAAGCAATAATGTTACCACAAAAACCTTCAAATTTGATATAATTTTCCTCACCCGGTTTTACAAAATACTCTGCACAAAGGCATCACATTCAAAAAGTCTCATAAGAGCTAGTAACACTTGTTTAAGAGAACGTGTGCAGGTTGACTGTTTCATTAGTCTTTGATATTATCAGTAAGGTTCTGATAAAGTGTGGACTGCTTTCCCAAAAACCAGACCTTGACTGTTGTTCAGGCCTTCAGACATCTGCTAGTTTTATTTTATTCATTTAAAAATATAATTTGAGTAAGAACTGCTCAAGGAGAAATTCTTTGATTGTTTATTCCCATGGGAAACTCGTCATTATGTTTCCACATAGCGGACAAATTTCAACTTTTTTTCTTTGAGTTGTGGCTGATTCTCTCTTGTTATACTTTGTGGTCAGTGAATCAGGTCTCTAACCCTGTTATAACAGAAACCATGAACGAAAGAACAAATTGCAGAGAACCTTTGTATGCAATGCAGGTGACAAATTGGACAGGTAAAAGCCATTCTAGACTCCTTTTGGGGGTTGGCATTGGGAGGTAAAGGTTAGAGCAGCCCTTTTTCTTTTCAGGGTCTGTATGCCTTTTCTCTTATGTTCGGTGTGATCGCATGCTGAGGCACCATCTTCTTCCTTTTATTGCTGCCTCTCGCTCTGACAGTTCTTTTAATCAAAGAATTGGTCCCAGTAGTGTCTCAAATATTATGATTGGTCCAATAGCTATGGAAATCACATCAGTGTGTTGGAGACCTGGCCTTTTCTGAAGGACCCCGAGGACTTAGCAGTCACAATACAGCCTGACCTGTCAATCTCAATCTCCCCTTCTCTTCATCGCGTCTCAGAATTCTTCTGCTTCCATCATGATCAAATAGTAGTCACAGTAATGCATGGTTCATGCAAATATTAGTACCTGGACCTATGAATGAGAAGGAAACAACTCCAGAGTTCACCACAGTCCGTCCATCTCTGTCTCTTGCCTGCATGGAGGTGCTAAAGCATACCTTCATTTCTAGTAGAGACCAGACTATTGTAATGCCCCGCTCTCTGGCCTCACCAAAAATAGCATTTCTAACCTACAATTACTTCAGAATTCAGCTGCTTGTGTGCTGACAGGAACCAGAGGGCAGGGACGCATTACACCAGTTTTAAGATTGCTGCATTGTGGCTCCTTGTGCGTTTCCGGATTGGTTTTAAGGTTCTTCTGCTTATCGTTTCATGTTTCCTTTTGTTGTTCTAATTGCTTTTAAGATATTTTTACATTTACATTTTTCAACTCCAGTGTTCTTCCTCAAGGGGCTTTTGGGGCTTAAGACTTTTGAGTATGTGGGGCCGTTGCTATGGGGATCGCCCTGGTCGGGGCTCTAGCGTGGATGCTGGCCTTCACTTATCTGGGCGGTTCCCCGTGGTGATGGCTTCTGGGGTCATTTGTGGGCTGGGCCCTGGTGTGGACAGATCCTCTCCTGAGAATTAAGCCAGATGTTTATGTTTGTATGATTTTTACAGGATTATTATATAAAGAATTGTATGAAAAGGGCTCTATAAATAAGGTTTGATTTGGTTTGACTACATATTGATGACAAATTAGATATTTTTAAACAACACACACGTGGAAAAGCCTCCAAATAAATCCTGACTTTTCATAGTAATAATCAGTTAACTGCCAGCCCATTACCAAATCAATGGATTAGCCATACTCAAATTCCCGTACATTTTATTGTGACGTTTACCAGAGTGGCAATTCACAAATACAAGTTCAGATTTCTCCAAAATAATGGTACATACACATAGACACACGTGTACATATGCATATATATATATATATATATATATATAGTCCCCATACATGAATATGTTTTAATGTTTAAACTGTGGTTTTGTTTTCTCTTTTTTAAATACAATCAATAATTCTTCCTCTATCATCTAATAATTACAATAGCACGATTAAGATGTTGTATTAATACTGATGTCTTTTAGTGACCATTGAACATTTATGTTTGCAAGTATTGATCAGGGAAAGAGGTCCACTGCAACAACTTCAAATCTGCAATTTATGAATTTATTTGAATATTTCTGTTGGGCACAAGAGAGAAGTATTTATTCATATTATGATTGGAAATCCCTAAAACTAGGTCATGCTCTCTGTTTTTGGTTGGTAATAAGATAATAAGAGAGCAACCTAATAAGCTTGAGTCCATGGGAGAAGCAAAATTTATTCTGTTTCTGTCCCGGGCTGAGATAGTTTAAAAAGCTGCCACAGTAGGAGATTTTCAAGCAGCCCCCTCCTGTGCTTCTTCAAATGCTCCAACCATCAAATGGCTTGGCTTGGGATTTATTATATCGCACAGAAAATAGACCTCTACTCCATGTCGATATTCAAGTCAACTCAATCCCTTTTTTGCGCCGCCCTAATTCCTGTAGGGGTTTAATGATGGGCCTGGACCAAGAAAAAAAAAGAAAAAGGGAATGTATGCACACATGCATGTATGTATACATTTCCGTATTTAGAAGTCATCAAAATAGTTCTCTGGGCTTCTTGAAGAAGCTTCTCAAAAGCTTCTCTTTGGATGGTGACTGCCTTTGTTGTGTTTTGGTTCCAGCTGTTTATACACTCATTATTTTTTTTAGATACATATGAATAGGCTTTTTCAGTATTTTTATCAGTGTTTGTCTTCTTAAAGAAAGGTTTCTTGACAGGCAACCTTGCAAAAAAACTTTCTGATGAGGTCTCAGCAAAAAGTGGCTGAATCAAATGGAAGGCAAAAATTTGTTTTTCGGGCACTACATCAAATCTAGCACTTAATTTTTCTTCTACTTGCTCCATTTCCCACAAAGCTGAGAAATGCCTCAGTCCTAACAATTCTATAGCTAAAATATCTCTCTATATCTTACAAAAAAATGTCATTGTTATACCTACTGAAAAGGTACCAGTACTCACTGCATTGAGAGGCCCATAGTTGCTGAGAAATGCAACATAACAATAATAATTTATAGTTCTAAAAATGGACTGATAGGAAAACAATGTTGCTTCTGACGAGACTACTGTCATTCCTTGATAAAAATTTCATTCTTGAGCTATTTTTCATTTTGTTTTTGCGCACGGTTGTGTGGCGGTTAGTACTGTTGCCTCACAGTGAGAGGGTTCCCAGTTCGAATCCCTGTGGAACCCCAGTCTTTCTGTCTGGAGTTTGCATGTTCTCTTCATGTCTGTGTTCCTTCCCTCCAGGTAATCACCCACTATCCATACACAGGCATATTAGGTTAATTGAATACTCTAAATGGCCCTGAAGTGAATGTGAGTGTGTGTGTGGTTGTTTGTCTCTGTGTGACCCTGTGATGGACTAGCAACCTGTCCAGTGTCTATCCAGATCACCAGGCCATGTAAACCAATTACCAATTTCTATGTGCAATAAATGATAACAAACAAATCCATCATTAAACAAGAATGACTAAACTAAACAATTTACAAAGGGTCCTCTAATCAAAAATCCCAAACAGGTTGTCTCTGAACCAGTTACAACTTAAAGGACTGGCAACATTTGTCATTACATTTGTTACTATAAACCATGCCTGTCTGTATGGTGTTTCCATGTGGTCCTTTGTTTACATGGGATCTCTCAGTGTAGTCTGGCATCCCCCCACAGTTAAAACATGTGTTACGTTATTTGGTTACTTTGAATTACCTGTAAGTGTTGCTTTGTGTGACTGTCTTATTAGTGTCCAGGTTGTACCCCATCTCTCACCCAATCACAGCAGACATTTCAATCAACCTTGATGGGCAGAGGAACAATGAGCCATACTTGTCCCATTATTTTATTTAAATTCCTTTGTGATACAACACATAGGAATATAATTTTGACATTGTTTTTAACATTTCAACAGAACATAGCATATAATCAACCCAAAAATTGACTTACAAACTCCAGATATTTTCAGTAACTCGCATTCTACAAATATAATTAAACCCTAAATGGACACATCACTGGTAAGTAGGTAAGGGAGCCCACTCTCCATTCGTATTTGTCATCTTTATTGAACCATCTGCTGTGCATTAAGACAGTGTAATAGAATTGAATTCAAGATGCCAACATAAACCGTAAACCCTGTCTTTATGAAGATGATTTACTATTCTATTATAAGGGGCCACAAATCTGTTCAATTCTACTACCGGTGCTACACAATGTCTGGGACTTTAAAGCTACAAACGTCACTCTCCCAGTTTATGATTGTAAGATTAAATACGCAGGTATCAATATTTCCATTAGACTATAAGGCTAAACTATCCACTGTTAGTTAAACATAATTGAAGACGACACACTGGAGCAACTTTTTCTCTTTTATTTTATTAAGCACAATTTCATTAAGTGTTGAAAGGCATTTTGAAATAAATGTTCTAATTTTGAATTTAATTAATCTCAACAAACTTGTTACAGGTGCTCTAATTTCCTTACAATAAAGACTAATTCATTATAATTTCCTGGATTAATTAAAGATAATAATAACCACTCACAGATCAAAGTGGAACACATTTGATTTCGAATACCGGTATCCATGAATGTATAATGTCAGTTAATGACCTTTCTGTCAACCTCAATTAAAGGAATTAACGTCTGAAAAAACGTAAGGGTTCTTTAAGCTCAGGCAGCCTGATTTAAACCACGCACAACAAACTATTATTTTTCAGTTGCAGCAAAACAGAGAAATTACCCAAATACATCACACTTTAGGAAATGTACTATTTAACATGCTTGTCCAGATTAATTGAAGATCGGGACAATCAATTCAACATGCCTTTTATTGATTACTGATGGTAATTAACTACAGTATATCTATCTATCTATCTATCTATCTATCTATCTATCTATCTATCTATCTATCTATCTATCTATCTATCTATCTATGTGTGTTTGTGTCTTTCAAAATGTATACATTATTAAAAGAAAAAGTATTTAGCTTCATATAACAAAACTGAAGAATAATTGTATTCAATTAAACACTTAAATTCATGAATAAAATATTAACACGCCTCTGAAATGAAATACGATTAGTAAACCTCTGATCACTTTACAGACAAGGCAAAACAAAGTTGTTGTTCTTTTTGTTTTTTTTCTGGTTAGCTAATGTAGATTCCAGTGGATTCATGAAAGCCTCTTGTTGGACCTTTCCATTCCAGCCACTCTTATTACACATTTAAAGTCTTAAATGTCAATTTAAGCATGAGAACAGAACCTGGGCATAAGATACCAAATATTTAGCTCCATCTTTAGCAAGTACATGATCAGAAATTATCTCCGCCCCCTTGGTAAAAACAATATAAGAAAGACTAAGTGTGGAAACAAAAGGTTCACAAATAGAAAAGAGGCTGTCTCATATCCTGGCTTTTGGTTGTTTGTGATGAAAGTACCTGATCTCTGACTACCCTGAAGTGAAAAGGTATTTTGATGTATTCAGCATAGCTCTAAAGAGTCCATACGTGTTATAATAGAGCTCTATATATATATATTTGTTTCTGCTGGGCATTTCTCTTGTGGCTAGATAGGACTTTCATGGATGGTCAAATAACTCAGATGGGATCATCAAACATTAAAGCTAGTTTTTGCAAAGTGTCAGATTTCAAGGAATGCAAGGATAGTTTGAATGTGAATTGGGAATCCGGGGTATGAACAGGCGAACAAAGGAAAATGTTGCTTCTTACTTTAGTCAGCAGCTCTGTCATCCGACAGGAAACTCCAAAACTGGGTTGGGCAGGTTTCAAGAAAGTATGTTTGAGATAGCGGAGAGTGGGCAGGCAGGTGGAATTTGAACAGCAAGATTGACAGCGTCCAAGTGAGGCATTCTAGATGAGTGTTTCACTCAGCGGCAGGGGAAAGCAATCAGACCAGAGGCTCTCTGCCAGAACAGGGTACCCAACCAATAACTTTCAGGAACAGGCACTCAGGACAGGTCCTCACAAAAAGTTAGATTACTAAGTAACTGGCCTGCGTTCGTCAATTTGGCCGAAAATATCTGCCGCCTTTGTCCAGACAAATCTTACCGCTCATTGTAAGATGCTGAACAGGTGAGTTAAATTGGCAGCGGCCAGTGGATTCCACTCATGGACCTATCCACCCACAGAATCAGCCCAGCTCCTCATGCTAGAAACTCTGCCAACCCACTGCAATTTTAAGCCTAATGCTAAAAGTAGAGGGAGTGTCTTCTTCCCTGACATATACAGGCTCGAGAGAGGCACCTGATAACTGAAGGCTCTGCCTTCCATTCCAGGTTTTGAGAATTTAGTAACCACAAGAGGACCTAGAGTCTGAGAGTTAACGTTCCAGCCAGGGGTTCTTTCATATATAATCGTGTTTGATCGTGAAGACCTTTATATGCGAGGAGCAGAACTTTAAATTCCATTTTGAATGCAACAGGGAAAGAGTGATGATCTATGATTTTAGTTTTCATTAAGATTCCACTATGTCTGCATTCTGGATCTACCCGAGGCGTTTCGGCTCATTTTTGGGAAAGACTTGTCACAAAGAAACGCAGGTGTCTAATCTGAGAAAAAAGTTTTTCTATATCATTCAGAGGTTTAGCTAATACTACAAAGGTGAAAAGAGGAAGACTTTATATTAAACGTTTTTTGTATGCGAGTCAAGGACAGACTATGTTAGAATAAAATGACTCCAGTATTCCTCACTGTATTACTAGAAGAAAAGGAAATGCCATCTAAAGTTTTTATACTTTATAACCTGGCATGTTTGGGTCAAAAGGACCCAACAAAGGACCCTAACACAACAGGAATGTTGCCTTATGTCACCAGTGTTACTTTCCATTGCATGTGTAAAGCCGCAAAAACAACACACTAGTCCATTCATATCGATCTGTGACTATATTTGCCCAGCATCTCGCTTCCTAACTTAAGTTACAAAAAAAATGTGTTATGACTTTTTAGTAATCTCCTTTCTCATTAATTTATATGAATAGCATTTTTAATGTTAACTGATACTACAACAAAACACTGAGCATTAGGAAAATGACTGAGTTCACTGATTACTATATTGCCTTATGTGCCTAAAAAAATGTAGAAATACAAGGACTAAAGGATAAAATCCTCACCACTTTGTCAGTATTATATTAGTAATTGTTAATGAGCATTCAGGTCTACACAGCATTCCTCTGAGTATTGTTATTTTGCAGTTAGGTGACACATTTTCTTTACAGTGTGCTGATTCAAAATCCATGGCTGGGCCTTTCAGCCACTGCAAAGTGATACTGTTCACACTAATCAATAGGACTTTGTATTTTGGCTGCTAATCAGTTGAACAAATGAGGAGTTGAGCAAACACAGAGGACATTTATATATGCGTGTATATGTTTCCATGAAACCATGCATATATTCCACAAACATAAAAGCAAACTTGTCCCATCCATCCATCCATTATAAAAAATGTATAGTTAAAATCTCTCTTCAAAACTCGGCCGTTCTATTTCAAGCTTCTGATCTGAACAAATGTCCTTTCATTACTTCCATAGATTGTTACAAAAGGTTTCATGTGTCTGATTTTTTTTTCCAAAGGCAATAGTAAAGGCCCATTTGTAATTTGTTGATATTAATTACATCTAAAATGTATGGCACCAGCCTAAACCACAGCAAACAGATGCTTTTTCATATCCACCAATATCTGTTTCATACACCTGAGCTAAAATCAATGGCTACTGTACAATAAATAGCTTTATATGTGCCATGCCTCACAGTGCTTTACACTTAATCAATATTGCCATGGCTATTTTCTGAATCATTAGCATTAAAACCAACTGTTTCAGGACTATAACCTGTTGACAATTATGTCCAAGGCTGATCATTCAAGAAGACTTGAAATGAACTTTTTTTGTTAATTTTATGGTAGTCTGCGGTTGTAAAATAAAGAAAAAAAATTGTTTGCCCTTAAACTTTATCACATCAACCTCAAGAAAAAAAGAA